ATTTGACTTTTAACTGGACACAATGGCGAAAAAGGATTCATGTAGCCGACCCCTCGTAGTGGGCCAAAGGCTTGTTGTTGTTGTTGTTGTTGAAGACCCCCTGCTAATGTGAGTGTCTATTATAGTTGTTTCATCTTTCTCAAACATGTCGACACTATTCGTTTTATGAATGGATGCCTTTTCAACCATTTTGAGTTTTAGTTGATGTGTTTGGACATTTTTTGCTCGATATTGTGTCTATCGCTTCATGTTTTCATTGTGCTTGGTTGATTTGACCTTCGATTTGCTGTCGAGGTCAACAATCCTTAAGTTTAATAGGAATGCCATATTTTGGTATCATTCCTTAGGTGAGGAATAGCCTTTTTCAATTTAAGTGAAGTACTTATTGCTTTAGGAAGGATCGACGCTTTCTTCTTTTGCCCTCTTTGCTTCTTGTCATTCTTCTCTTTGAATTGTGTTGCAGTCTTCAAGGTTAATGCCTCAATTTTGGAAGATTGTATTGATTTTGGTTTGTTCAGAATGAAATATTGGGCATCATAAATTTTTACTTCATGAACCGCTAAAGGCTTGCGTGTCGTTAGAGATCTTGAATTCTTCTTCATCCTTAAATATTTTATGCATCAGTGCAAAGTTGATGGGGCCATGCTATATTCATGGAGTCAGGCCGATCCTAAAGAGCATTAAGCAAGGTGTTGGGTTCGGCCACATGAAATATAACTTTTATATAAAGTTTTCCTAACCTCAAGGGTAAGAAGAAAGACCTCATGGTCTGCTGTCATTTTCAATCAAAACCATGCGATGTTAAACATTAATGGATAAACACTTCAGTGTTCATAAACTCATAAGATTTGTTGAAGAACCTAGGTTGACTAGTATTTGACTTTCATGATGTTATCACTCTCCATTGCAATATACAGGGCACGATTATGCTTTGATGTATCGAGTAGACAATCTTTTTCAGAAAATATAATTGTTTGACTATTTTACGCTCATAGAATTTCAATAAAGCACCACTCTGTGAAATATGCTTCATATTTTTCTAAATATTTAAGAGGTTCGGTTTACAGTTTCGTAGAAATCCTTCAACATCATAAGAGCTTTGTAGACACTGTGGCTCATAGAAATCTTTTGCAGATGTGACAAGATATTATAGTTCACTTCCTTATCAGAAGCAGACTTCATAGAATCCTTAGGACTAATCCTTTCATTGATCACTGTGTCTTTGCCTTTTCCTTTGCTCGATGATCCTTTCTTTGGAGGAGGCAGCAAAGCCTTTCGACTTCTCAATTGTGTTTAAATTATTAATTTTCAATTATGATTATTTAGATGAAGTGGCTCCCTCATAATCAAGCTCCATCATTTCACAGGATTGGCTAGAAGGTTTAGAATCACCACCCAGTTTTAGATGCTCAATCTGTGATGCCAATGTGGGTTCAAATTCACTTTTATTGGGAAAACATAGATCTCCTAAATTGTTATTCGTCTGTAGCATGTCAAACATGACTCATATGTTATTTTGTCAGAATCTCCTTTTTTGTTGAGGTCCTTCATGTTTTTTGGTTGGGATTAACAAACTCATGGAAGGTATTAGACTTTGACCCATGCTATGAGTTCAAAAAGGTGTTTGTTGAGAAGTATTTCAATCAGGTGTGATTCTTAATGATATGTTTCTTTTGTTTTTGCCTATTTGAAGCCCGGACATAAAGTCAATAAACATGATAGGCCATTAGGCCCATCCCTACATTTTTGCTTGCCCAGTTTGTTTTAGTTTTATAAGCCTTATTCATTGTTCCCTAGACATCGTTTGCCAATCAAAGAATTACCCATATTCATTACCGAGCTAGAAAAAGACCTTATGATCTAATCTCCTATCAAAAGTAGACTCGTCAATTTTAACTTTCCTAATTATGTCTTCATTAATGTCATAAGGTTGTCATGATTTTTATTAACATACTTCCTATGACGTCTATCTTGATTGTTTCTTTCACGATGAATTGCTGTCCTCCTAACAATATTGTGAATGAGTTCTTCATTAAAAAGCTAGATTCAATATTTAGTTTTGGTATGCAAATTTGATTAGTTTACAGGGTTAGGTTGGCTGTTGATTTATTTGTGTCAAATGGTTGTGTTGTAACAATTTGTTTAATTGGTTTTGCAAGGTATTCAAAATCCCATCATGATGCTGATTTGTTAACTGACACAAATATTGAGCCTCACTTCTAGTCATTTTGATACATTCTTAGCTCTTATATCATTTTTATGTAGGAAGTCTTGTAGTCTAAGGTTCACTAATGCAAATCTAGGATGGATGTGCAAAAGAAACATTCAAAAGATCGTAATTTGCAGTTTCTCAACTTATATTTAGGTGCATATCAAGGTTTGAAATTGCGCAATTAGATATTGAGACTTTTTTTTTATCGTGAGGTTAGGCATAAGCATTAACACAATTTCTTAAAAGATTCATGTCATTATTGTTCGACAAGTTTTACGCTGGCTGTCGACTATCTAACGCAACCCTCCACTTTTCTCATCCAGGACTTGGGACCTGGCAACGGCAGTGTTAAGATTGTGTTAATAAAGGTCAGGCGTAAAGTGAAAATAAAGGTCAAAAGTAAATTTTTATAAAATTCCTAATTAATATATTACATGATGATATATTAACTTTCTATTGAATTATGAATTAATAAATTTGCATACATATGAAACCAAAAATTGCACAAGATTGAAAGTGAAAAGTGATAAATTGCGTGAAATAGAATTGAAATCCAAATATTATAAGAGCAAAACAATATTAAATATTGAAATTGCATAAAAGTATCATATAACATCAAGTTCAACTCCAAATTTCTTCTTTCTCAATATCCTACTCATTTACATTTAATTCATAATGAAAGTTGAAATAATTGGCAACAACTCAGAAATCATTTGCACTATCATCACTAAGGTGGTCTTTATTTGAGTTTTCGCCATAACAAATTGGTCTAACCCCTACTCATCCGGTGGAGTTGAATGCCTCACAATCTGCTTCTCTTAATTTATTTCAATCATGTTCATCTTTAATAAATGTTTTTCATCAACATAAAGATGAGATTAATACTCCAAAGTTTTTAAGGTGGCGGTATACGGCTACGAAGGTGTTGGCTACGACGAAGGCCGCGAGATAGAGGTTGAGGCAGTTGAGAGGAAGTTGTTACAACTCAAATGTGCATGAAGTATATATATAGATATATATATAGGGTGAGGCTTAAGCCTTATGCTAGCAAGGTGAGGCATGCTAAGCTGAGACACAAGCCTCATAAAAAAGTGAGAGGCGTAACCCTCGAGGCGTCTTTTACTGGAATTGGGCTGAGGAGGGCCTCATATTGTGCAATTTTAAACAATAATGAAGATTAACAACATTTGTTGCAAACTTAGAAAACATTTTTTATTCCAAATGATAATATGACTCATCAAATTCTAAAATTATAAGAACTTGTATAAGATTCTTTGATGACTAATATTCACACCACAAAAAATGACTACTATGTATCAAAATTGACTAGTTCTTAATCATGCAAACAAACCTATCACTGAACAATTTGGAAGAAATAACATGGATTAATATCACCAATTGAAATATCCAGACCTCACATCAGTACAAGAAAAATCACTCCCTTGCAAGTTACTGTAAAAAGTTTAGAAGCACTAAAAAAATTCACATCTAATTGCCTAAACAAGAATTGGAAGGAAAACTCAAATTTTATTCAATCATTCAATGAAATTTATATGCTTCATGAGTTTCTTATAACCTTAAAAGATTTAAAACAAATAACTTTTTAGAACTCCTTAAGATCTAATCTAGTACCACAAATTTAATTTAATCACAGGTGAACTCAAGCAAGAATAACAAATTTGTAATCTTAGTTCAACTAAAAAGTAAGTTTCCAACTTAGAAATCTCATTTCTAGCAATATCAAATAAATGATCAGTTTCTTATTTAATCCTGATACAAGATGGTGGGCTCATAAGTTCATTTCCTAACATAATACATTCATGCCTCATGATAATCATGAATGACTTGGGGCAGATGTGACGGCCTTTTCCCTCATTATCTCCTTGTATTTAGGAGTTCATTCAACATTGTCGAATTCTTAGAAGCCAAGGAAGTTGATGCAGAATGCATTTTGGAGCCCTTTTAATACACCGATAATTTTGTTTGTAGTTATATTTAATTTTATTTTGATGTATTTTCTTTATTGAGTCTAGATGTTATGTATTATGACATGTTTGCTTGTATTTAGTTATCTTTCGTACTTTTTCTTGAATTTTTTTAATTGTCAGGTCTGTGGATCATGTTATATTATGGGCCTATGTGCTATCATTTCTTACATAATTGGCCATGTTGGGCTGTTACGCTGATGCTAGGTTTAAATTTGGTGGTAGATATGGATGTGACAGTAGGTTCAACTATTTACTCGGTGTATTTCTATCTCTCATTCCTGTAAATAAAGTCTCTTGTAGTCCAAAGCATTTGCTAAATAAAGGAAATTTTCATTATTTTTATTTTGTAATTGTGTGTTTCCTACCTCAAGATAATTTTTTGAGAGTGTGAATTCACAATCTTTGAAGGACTTTAAAGGAAGAAGGATCCAGTTTGCGATGGACTACTCATATAGGCTCCTTAGGATCTTCTTATATCACAATTTCATTTTCTTTATAAGCTTACTAATATCATTTGAGAGATTATAATCTTGCAAAATATCTAAAAAAATAGTTTTCCTTATGTTTAACCAGTAGTTAGTGCTAATCCAGTAGTATATTGGCATATTATTAGCTAGTATAGCTTGATTGAATGGTCGAGGACTATTTTGCATACATGCGCATTGCATAATTATTGTTCTACATTAGTTGTTTAGTTCATTCTGATCTTACATTTTTTATTTTCCTAGGTTTTATCATTGACCTTTTTTATACTTTTTGAGCAAGTTATCATGTCTTATAATTTATTTCTTATGTTTCAGTTAAAAGCATCAGAAATTTGAATGGCCATAGTATTGGACCTTACCAAATTCATGCTGGCAAGTCTGTTCCTATCGTAAAAGGTGGGGAGCAAACAAAGATGGAGGAGGGTGAATTTTATGCTATTGAAACTTTTGGCTCAACAGGTAGACGTTTGATTTGCTCATGAATATTTGTAGATCCTGAATTAAGCCGTATTTTATTAAATCCTAATTGATAATTATAGATGCATGTAATTTAATGGGAAGAATTTGTATCGCACTATCGCTTAAGTATGACTGTCAAATATCATAAATTTAATGGCAACGCAGTCATAATCAACCCTACTTTGTTAGGATAGGACTGATGTGACTGAGTCATTTTGGCAGGCAAAGGATTTGTGAGAGAAGATCTTGAATGCAGCCATTACATGAAAAATTTTGACGTTGGACATATACCACTAAGGTTACCTAGGGCAAAGCAACTACTTGCTACCATAAATAAGCATTTTTCAACCCTGGCATTTTGCCGGCGTTACCTGGACCGCCTCGGGGAGGCAAAATACTTGATGGCTCTGAAGAATTTGTGTGACGCTGGTATTGTTCAGGTTTGTAATATATTCTTTCTTAAGCAACCCATTTACCTACATATTAAGCTCAACATGTTTGGATGAGGTCATTCAAATTATGTTAACTTGCAAATTAGGTTGTTATTATCCATGAGTCAAATCAACAATATATCACAACAACAACAACAATATATCATGTCTTTAAAATGTGGTCAGGAAGATCATCATTCATCAAAGTAGGAATATTTGAATCTAAATAATACTTGACTAACATCCTTACGCATAAACAATCCCTTAAGCACTTTTTTTAATTTTCTGACCACCAAAACGTAAATTATTCTTTATGGTTAACCTTTTCAAAAGCATGTTTGTTGAAAAGATAGCGATTTCTTCAACTTAGAAGAGCTTGGCACATTTGACGTAGAGGCGTTCTCAGGCTATTTTATGAAACTATTCTCCTCCCATTGCTTAAGAAAGAATTACAGATAATTCACATCCTTAATTGGACTTGCAGTCTTACCACTCAGCATTTTGACCTGGACCCTACCAAGTTCAGTTTTTAATTGGGCACCTGCATGTGACCTAGTAAAATCAAGAATATTTTTATGTTTTTCTTGATGGGTGTATGTACTATATCTTTTGTTTGAACAATTTTTCAAAACAAACAAAGTTGTTACAAGTTTATTATGAAGAAACTTTTTAGAGACAAAATCAGCATTTAAGAGGGTGAACCTGGAGAATGATTTGGTCTTTTCATTGTGATATGGAGGTCACATTCTTGAATCAATAGAAACAGCATCTCCATCATGTAGGGGTAATGATTGCATACTTTATTCCCTTCACAAACTCCTCTTTGATATGAAGCTTTATGCGTTAGGTACGTCCTTTGAACAGAACTTGGCTTCCAGCTAGGGCAAGTTGAGCTAGTTCTGAGGGGACGCTTTGCTTAAAATGCCCTCTGCTCCTTCAGTCGCTGACAATAAAAAATCGCATTAACATTCCTTTAGATATTTTTTCCCTTTTAAGAAAGCCTTTGCTGGCATCTGAGAAGACGTTTTCTTGGACAGAGCTATGACAGTGGCCATCTTCAAAACAAATGTTCTGAACCTTGAGCTTTTCCTTTCACTTATCCAAGCTGAATAAGTTGCTCGTGATTGAATTTCTGTTTTATTTTCTTTTTTATTTTTTTATTTCATCATTTAGGTAATGCTTGTTATATTAATTCTTTTATTCACCCTCATGATTTTATTTTACTTTTTGTTAGTGGCACCTGTTGGATCTTGTTTGGTTCTGTTTTTCAACTTTATTCACCTTAAATTTGTACTCTTTTCCTATTTTGTATTTTATCTACTAAATTTTATGGGTAAAGCTTATGTTAGCAACGCTAAATCTGTCTTATTGACAACTTAGAGTTTCTGACTTTTAGCTTTAAGGTAAATTGAACCTGCATTCTTATTTTGGCACTTGGTGATACTCATTGCTCCATCATGCTTCTAGAGCTTATTTGTGAGTCCCTCAAATTTGTTCCAGTTTCTTTTTATATCCCCTTTTTTAATCAGAACAAGTGTCACGTGTCTGTCTTAAAAGAACCGTGGGGACAGTTGCAGAGGTTTCAGGTGGCTAGCAGAATATTGTTTCTCGGTAGAGAGCACATTATCGTTGCCCGTATCTCATGTACTAGGGTAGATTTAAGGACTACTTCAATCCTTAAGTTGGGTGCGACAGCTTTAGATTTATGGACTATCCAAGGAGATTTCTCTCGTTGCAACTGCTTTTATCAGCTTGCTCACAGCTCTGAAGTTGGAATTTCTCTATAGCAAAGAGAGATTCTAATATGGGATGGGAATTTATAGCTCTCTTCTGAGCTTAAGGTCGTTCATATCTTCTTGAAATAGCTTTTACGTCTGTTTTATGAAATTTCTTAAATATTCATTTGGAATGGAGATATCTTATAAGTAATGCTGACGGTAACAATTGGCAAAATATGGCACATTAAAGCGAAAGAAAAACTGTTGCTACTTATGTAATTGATTATACTCTTTTGCTGGTGCACACTTTTGGCAGCCTTACCCTCCCTTGTGTGATGTGAAGGGAAGCTATGTGGCACAATTCGAGCACACAATATTGCTTCGACCTACCTGTAAAGAGGTCATATCCAGAGGAGAAGACTATTGATGATGTAGATGATCTTTGCTTGAGCTGTTTTACGGCTTATTTTTTATTTCTTGATCATGTGGTCAGTTGGAGTTCTATTTTCTGGATGTATGTTCTTGCAAATGTTACTGATGAGTTGCTTGTGGAAAAACGGGATCAGACCAGTTATTGTGTTTGGATCACAAGTGTGATTATTATTGTACAGGAATACTTGAATTTTAACTTATTTAAGTTTGCTAATAACTTTAATGATAGACTGATTTCGTATATTTTTCAATCTTATTTCTGAATGAGGTAATTATTACCATTTTATTTCGGAGGCATACTATTTTGATTACTTGTTTGAGTTAGGTTGGTCGGACTGTTTTTGTGGCTTTTTCGATAATTATTACTTTTATTTATTTCATAAGGTTAACTTTGTGATACTTCTTTGAGATGGGTGAATCTGTGCAAAAATTGGAGTAGCTACTCTCTCTAATTTATATCGCTACAATTCTGGCATGATGCTGTCTTGTCATGCTTCTTTTTGTTACGATAAAAGTGAGGTGAAAACTGAAGTTTGAAAAACTGGTGAGCAGTTAATGCTAAAAAATAATTTGTATCAATGAGTTGGAAATCAAGCTTGGATGATCTCCATCTTCCTAGGCATGGTGGCAACGGGTGATATGAAGTGGAGGGAGATGTTAGGTTGCGAGTGCCACAGCCGTCTTAGCCATGATGCCCATGAGAAGCCAAAGAGGACAAGGGGATGAACGATGGGTAGGTGGCTTTTCATGTTTGAGAATTTTAGTTTTGTGAGGGGTTTTCTCCTACACAATTCAACAATACTCCCAACCAAATGATGACTCGGAGAAGATTTTGTGTGGTGGTAGGTGCCGGAACACCCGTTAGTGGGAATGCCTCGTCCAAGTGGAGCCTTCGTTTTTTTTTTGTTTTTTTTTTTGCCTGGTGCATATGCAGGTAATGGGAATTTCTATGATGCTCAATCCACGGTTTTTAAACTTGATTTTATTTCATTTCTTGATGTTTTAATTTGTAGTTTCAACAATTTGAATGCGCATTATATTTTATTTTAACAAATAATTAACTTTCAGAATTTGTATATTTAAAAAGACGAGCGGGTGCCCGGGTCCCATCCCCAACCGTACAAAAAGAGTATTTGTTCTTCGAAATTACCGGAAGGCAAACTCAGCGGCCATTAACACTTTTTTTTTTAATGCGAGAACAAAGAGTCAATCAGAGCATTTCATTCTCTTAATAATTATTGCAAACGTGGGGGACGGTTTTGGAGTTTTTTTTTATTATTATTATTTGGATCTAGATTTGATTGTTTTGGTTTATTTTGATCTATTTTTTTATGAATATAGTGTGAAGTGTGCTGCTGCATTGGTGTCAGGGTGTAGGGTTAAATAAGTAAGAGTTTTCACTTTATGGATGGATATGGCCAAAGAAGTTAGTCAATAAAAATAAAATTATAGTAGGAATTTGAAATATAGGTTCTTTTACAGGCAAATTAATGAAATTAATAAATAATATAATTCATAGGAAGATAAATATTCTATGCACTGAGGAAATTAAATATGTTAGAGATAATGTTAAGGAGATTGATAATTTAGGGTTTAAATTATGATATTAATATAGGAGTTGTATTAGAAATATGGTAGGTGTGATTATAGAATGTTTGAAGGATAATGTGGTAGAAATAATAGAATTGACAATAGAATTATAGTTTTAAAGATTACCATTGTTGCAGGTTAGAATATATACGGTGATAGAGTTATAATCCTACGTCTTAGTGTTGTATGGATATCTAGCTCAAACATATAGACCACGAGATTTTTACATGGAAAATCCTGGAAAGGGGAAAAGCCACGAGGCCTGACACAGTTAAAAATGATTCAACTAGAATTCGAGTAGATTACAGTAGGCTGACTCGTGCTTAAGGGCGATTAGATTACAAATGACAATCGTATGGTTGAAATCTAGTGATAAATGGAGATGAAAATATGGAGTCACTTGGTGGTCTGTCGGTAATCCAATGGTGGTTTGGCAGAACTTCAGCGTGGGCTGTGGTCTGACAGAATTTCAGTGTTGGGCAGTGGTCTGATAGAACTTCGGCATCAAGTAGTGGTTTGGTAGATCTCCAGGCGACGGGTGATGGTCTGACAGAACACCGGGCATCAAGTGGTAGTTCGATAAAACTTTAGGCGTCAGGTGATGGTCCAGCTGAACTTTGGGTGTTAGGTGGTGATCCTGCGAAACTATGTGCTATAGGTGGTGGTTCGGTGGAGCTCAAGGCATCAGGTGGTGGTCCTCTGGAACTCTGGGCATTAGGTGGTGGTATGGTGGAGCTCAGGGTGTCACGTGGTGGTCCGGCGGAACTCTAGGTGTCAGGTGGTGGTTCAACGGAACTCAGGGCGTCAGGTGGTGGTTCGGCGGAACTCAGGGCGTCAGGTGGTAGTCTGGTGGAACTCTGGCTGTGGTCGAGGAGGCAAGGAGGCAAGAACGATCTCTGATCTCCTTTTCTCCTTAGGCTTAGGGGTCCATTTTCAAGAGGAAGGTGTCACGCCCCAAGATCTAACTTGGAAAGAATGTCAATCTATTTCTCAAACAATTTACCAGAGTTATCTAAAACCTTCAATTAAACAGTCCATCAAACATCTATAAAATTTAAAACATCAATATACAAGTCGATTCATATCTCAAAAGGTCATGTACAATACTCAGAAAATACACTACAATCACTAGTACTGAAATCTATCCTGAGTACAAAAGAATCAAAATCATCAAAAGACAAAAACCTGAAAATCTGGATCAATTCCTATCTTCTGCTCCCTTGCCCTGACCTGAAAATATCAACCACATATAATGAGCTTTACAAAGCCCAGCAGGTCACCTAATACCTATAACTGAAATCAAAGCACGGCTATGCTATCAATATGCATGTCAGTCAATCAAATCAATATCAGTCAATGATCAATGAGTCTATGCAATGTGGAAATCCATAGTCAATGAAACCAGTCAATGCAACAGCAGGCAAAAC